CTGGACCAAGCAGAGACATTAGGAGGAGCTGCTGGAGGTCAGGGAAACTGAGCAGGTCCCCCAGCGGCTGCAGCAGTAGCAGCAACGGCTCCACTTGGAAGCTAGGCATGCTGGCCAAGGCCATCCTGCTTATGGGGGTGGGAGCAAAGCATGTGGGCAGGGTACAATGTATTAGTGGTCTCCTGTGGGCTGGATGAAATTGCCTGGCAGGCTGGATCTGGCCCATGGGCTCTATTTTTGCCTGCCCCTGTATTAGATTGCTCCCTAAAACAGGCAAAATGACAGACTTGATTGGTCACAAATATGATTATTACAGTATGATACTTACTAGGGTATTTTGAGGAATGGAACCTTGAGTGAAAAATGATAGTTCCCAAAGAGGAGCAAAACATTTTTAGGGAGCTGTTCAGAATCATTTAGTAATGGTTAAGCAGCATGAATGAATTCTCCTGCACACCTACACACACACCTATATACATGCGTGTGTGTATATATAAAATAAAATTTAGAAATATCTGTCTGGTTCCAGTGATAATATCAAAGGTGTATGGCTTGTGGGCTATTTTTGCTCTGCAAGTCAGGAATAAGAGTATAAAATTACCTATTTTGATTGGAGAAATCGAAGCATTCTGCAGGCATTGTGCTCCAGACTGCTATTCCTCTTGCCTTTCTTGAGTCTCGTCTAGCATTCATAAGTAGTTCTCATGTTGCATCTGCAAACTTTTACAAATATTGGTAGATAGCACTTGTACTACTTCTGCATGTAAAATTGTATTGCTTTAAATTATTGCACAAAACTAAGCCGAAAACATGGTCTGACTTCAGTTTTGTGTGTTCTGGTGCTATAGTAAAATGGCATTGCTTCTGAGTTCAAAAAGAAATTTGTGGTGGAAAGCTGTTGGTCATTCACTGTGAATTCTGTTGCCCCAACAATAGTTAGCCATCTCCTGTTTATTCTGGTAAGAAGACATGGAGATTATCAAAATGGAACCATTCAGTCCTTGCTCATTGTTACCAGCTCTCATATATGGTAGAGTAGGGCCGTCCAACTTCTGAGTGGCTGAGGCTGCAGAAGATTCTTGAAAGAAGAATCCTGCTTGTGCTAATTCCTAAATATTATTTAACCTATGTAAAGTAAACAGACAGGAAAAAATCATTGTACTTTATGCTTCATTCTTTTCTTCGGTATCATCTGGCTCTTTTCACATCTTTTTGGCATTAAGCATTTTGTAGGACATTACAAATGTGATCATTTGCTCCATTCTTAACCCAGCCTTAGTTTATTTTGGATGAAATTACAATTCGAGAAAATTGTTCCTACTGAAGCAGATTATGGTTACACATACTTTCAGATGAGTCGCAAAGTAATGCCGACATTTGTTATACCTGTTTAGCAATGTGACACTCAAAAGAGCAGATTTGGGCATTGGTCAGGGCTTTGAAGTAGATAGAAATTATGGGGTAAATTTATACAATATTAAAAATTACATATGAAACTTAACATGGTATAAATATTATTAATCATATTCGTTTTACCTTAACTTTTCCTTGGAAAAAAAAATACAAGCAATCACCAAACATGTGCTTAAATATCACTCTTCCCCTTCAGAAGCTTCAGCTAAACTAATTCAGTTCTTCTGGTTAGTTTATTGTATGCAATATAAAACAATTTTCTGGAATATTCAAGAACGTTTGCTTGATGAAAGCCAGTTTCAGTCTATTTAAAAAGTGCTTTTTTTGTCATCCTTCATATAGATGACTCCAGCCTGGGCTTTTCAGGACTTCTGGGTTCATATCTGTTGGAATAGTTATGAAATCTGGGCTTCTGAAACTCGGGGTGGTATGGTGTGTCTTAAGCACTATGTTGCCCAGGTCCCCACAGCTGTTGTGTACAGGTGTTCGTTCACAGACCATCCTTTGACTATCTGTTACATCAGCAGACGAAGGCAGGGTGTATTTCTGGGGGCTGGTATGGAGAAAACTTTGGGCTTTTATGAAATCAGCATTCTACTCGCCCTCTAGCTATATACCTATAACAGGGCAGGAGAATATATAGGCCAATTCTTGGGAGAAAACCATGCAAACACCTCTAAAGATTCCTAAACCATCAGTGATATCCTTACTTTTTCTCAAGTGAGAGTAACCTCTAATTAGTATTTTGTGTCCAGACAGAATGCCAGATATTGCATGTAATGCATGAAGGCTCAGAGTTAGTGGATGTGTTTTTGCTAGATTGGAGTGGTCCTCTCTTGTACCTTCCTTTCTAATCCCTTCTAACTCTGTAGGTTCAGAAGGAAGATCAGATTTGAAAAGGCCCAAATCATACCAATAGCACTGTTGTGGATATTGAGTGTTTATATTGATATGGAAATATTTTGAAGCTGTTTAGAGACCAGCATATTCATCTCCATCTGTTTTCAGACCTTTTTCTTCCTAGTAATAGATAATCCTCCATCTGATCCAGATATTTCATGTAGAGCTAAGGCAGTGGTTCCCAACCTTTTTTAGACTCAAGGTATCCCTTCATAATTCTTGTTAAAATGGGGTACCACTTGATTAAAAATGAAGTCTTTTTATTACAGTACTTACCTTCTTACAGAGGGACCAGGCAGTGGGGGCAGGGGGAGCAGTTAGGCATGGAGAGCTGACATTATCGGCTATACTGGTCAAAAAAAGTCAATTGCCGTTAATGTCAATCTTCCTTTTATTGGTGCCCATCCAAAATGGACCAGTTATATCAGTGCACCTCTAGGAAAAAAAAACCCTTTCTTTGCTCATCATTTACTATGGAACCAGCCATGAATTGCAAGTATTTGTTTTACTGTGTCTTTTGAACCAACAGTGATAGTTGGGATAGATAGACATGTTTTTGGACATGAATTGCCTTTTTTACTTTGTCTGGAAGCTTGTTAAACATCTCTTCCAACTATACAGATTATTTGAACCCATAAAGGCAAATAAATGTGCTTATTTCTGACTGTGGGGAAAACCAGTGTAGCAAGGAAATGGATTTTAGAATCTCAAGAAATAATTATGAAGTGCAAAACAGAGGGAATAGAAAATCTTATGTAGCTTGCCTGCAGTAATTAATCTCTGTGATTGGACTAGAGCTTTTTAATTTTTATTAGAACCCTTTTGATCATAATACTGAATGGATACATCCTCCACTGACACTTGCCAGCTTTGGTAGAAGACAAATTCCAGTCTGAAAGTATTATAGTGTGTGATCTGCAGTGCTTTCACCTGATAAAAAGAACTTATTTTAATCATTCCATTTTTAGTTTGCTTGTGTTTAGTCTATTATCATATTTCTCATGGCATGCATGATGTAGTGTTGTTTATGTTTTGGACTTTGTTAGTGTTTTCATAGGAAGGGGATGTTTTATCTTATTCTCCCTCACACTTAGAAACAAATCACTTCCTCCCAGGTTATCTTCCCTTGGAAAAAAAATGTTCCCTGAAATTTGCCAGTGCAGTAGGGATTATATTACATCTTTAAAAATGTATAATATACATATAAATAAAGGTGGTTGGATGATGATTTCCTGGGAACAAATTACTGCCACTTCTTTGTAGTCTAGAGTGGCTTCTGAAAGAATCCCTCTCCCTCCAATTGACTGGGTTATTGCATTCATTGCAGATGCAAGCTGAGGTGCCCTTATTTGCTAAGGCTCTTCAAAACCAAGGCACCTTTTCTTAAATGCTTGCAGTGATATATTCTGTATGTGTTTAAATGAGCAACCTGGCCAGCAACCTTCTCCTTTTTCTAATCCTCAGTCCTTTAATCAGAGTATTGTTGGAATTGGAGATATTTCAGCATCTAAAGTTTAAAGTCGAAGGTCCATCCAATGCTAGAAGCCCTTTGGGCTAGCATAATTGCGGGACATTAGATTGCATAGCCAGTGGTGTGCAAGGGAGTGATAAGGGTAGCGTCTAGTCCATAAAAGCATGAATTTGAAAGGTAAATAAAAATGATTTAAAATGTTAATTTTTGTCCTGTCACCCTCACCAGGTTATGAGTGGTGAATAGGGTGTGAACATAGTCCATAGGTAAAAATTTTGACTTGCCCTTTTAAATTCTTGTTGTCTTGGTACTTCCTCGTTCACTGAGGGCGTCTCAGAAGTGATATCATGTCTACCAGAAACCTCATTTGCAATCAGTCCAGAGTATTTGTAATGTCACTGAACTGCACATTCTGGGATATCTTCATTTACCAGGAAGCATAAAAGTAACTTCATGGAAGGAAGGGAGAAGATTTTTTTTTTTTTTTAAACTTTCTGTGCTTATTACTACTAGAAATTTGTGACATAACCGGTTTTGCTTTGAAGTTGGCCTTCGTAGGAGAATTTTTTCGAGAGTTGTATCTGTGTACATATGATAACTTCTGGATCACTAGTAGGACAGACCAGTGTTCTTGTTCCTTAGATTATTAGGTTGAATTCATTTGTGACTCGTCTTGTTTCAGATGGCTGTGTTGCACAATATGCGTGTGTGTGTCTACACTTTGCCTAATCCAAACCTGTTCCACCCAGTGGCAGCCTTTCTGTTGACTTGGTTAGACTGTGAATCAAGCCTGGTCTAAACAAAGTTGAAAGCTGAAAGTTTAATTAAGCTGTGTCCTTTTTTTTTAAATGGATTTAGTTAAGAATGTTCACATGTTTGCACTGGTATATTCAATTCACGTTTTGATCATAGTGATTTCCTCAGTTTCATTTTCATTACCTTCTATTTCTTGGTAAACATAATCCATTTTTGCAACATTTCTGAAAGGTAAATAATCATCTGTGTTTTGTTTGCAATGCAGAGGTTAACTGACTTGGCCAAAATCTAGTCAAAGCTGGGAGTATAACATAGTTGATGATTCAGTCTCCTGTTCTAATCATAGAACTACATTCCCACTTCCAGTAGACCTGTTCAGGGATTAATTGGCATAAAGGATTTTAAAATATTGTGTATCCAGTTGAGTGAGAGAACTTTTTTTCTTTTTTCTTTCAGGTTATGTTTCACACTATGTGCTGACTGTCTGTACTTACAGAAGATATTTAAAAGCAAGCAAAAACATTTTTTCAAAGATTTTGATTCCAGTGGAATCTGCTCTTTTTAGATTTTGTCTAGTGAATTAATTCCTGAAGCAATGCCTGTACAAGCTCCACAATGGACGGATTTTCTCTCCTGCCCAATTTGCACACAGACTTTCGACGAAACAATCCGGAAACCCATCAGTTTGGGCTGCGGTCACACTGTCTGCAAGATGTGCCTCAACAAGCTCCACCGTAAGGCATGTCCCTTTGACCAGACCACTATCAATACAGATATTGAGCTCCTTCCTGTGAACTCAGCATTGCTGCAGCTAGTGGGTGCTCAGGTAATCATATTTCTCTGTTGTTTCAGCTTTTAAATGGGCAATTAATGAATGAAAAATGTTGGACTACAGACAGCAGGTAGATAGATGTAGAGCCAATGTTCATCTGTGTGATAAGGTCAGTTCCAGGGTCCTGGCTTTCCGCATGATGAAAGAGTTGCCTAGGAAAATGATTTTTAACCACATTCCTTGAAACATGTTGCCTGTGTTGTCTTTCTGTGATTGAGACAATCTACGGTATTTTGTAGCCGTAAAAGATTGTGGAATTTTGGAAACTTGTGGGGGGAAAAAAACTTGTTTTGTTGTGGGCATGAACCAGCATAGGGGAAGGGGACTATTTTATAGGGCTGCCACATTGAGGCATATTGAACGAACTGTTTACTGATGATCAAGCTTTTTCCATTCTTTTACCTTCCATGTCTACCTGGTGCTCCATCTAGTTCAGGGGCAAAATATGGCCCACAGGCTGGATCTGGCCCACGAGGCCATTCTGTCTGGCCCATGGGGCCCCTAAAAAAAAAAAAAAAAAAAAA